ATCAAATATTTTTTATCATTATAATAGAAAAAAATAACATTTTAAAAAAAACTTAATAAAATTTAAAGAGAAAAAAAATATATGCAGTATTGTCATAGTTGGCCATGAGTTTAACGTAATAATAGAATAAAGGTATTTAGTTTTTAGGAATATTCATTACAAACTAAAGAAATGTACAAAACAGAAATTACCCCCATGTATAGATAGATAAGCCACCAGCATAAGCAGTGCTCACACTGGCGAAGCCTCAATTAAGTTAGCTAGGATTAAGCGCGGGATCGCATAAGCAAACTGACTTAAACTAATCTGTGGAGACAACACATTAGTTAACTGGGGTATAACTTAATGCAACTTTTGGCCATATGGAGTTTTTGTTTTGTGGGGTGATCATTGCACTATATAGATTAAATTCGACTTTCGTCAAACATACCTAGCTGATCTCTTTGCAAAAATAATGTTATTATTTTGTTAAACAACAAATGATTGGCAACAATGCTTTAATTTCTGCGAAAATTGATTCTTGCGAATTAATCTTAATAGAGAGACAGTCGCTGTCGCAGACATTTTTTGATAATTTGAAGAGTTTATTAGGTACATAATTTTCTCAATGAAACTTTTCCCGTTTTTTCCACATTGTCCACTTTTCCTCTTCTAACCAGTAGTTCGTGAGAATAGCGCGTTCAAACTCTTCAGCGTTAAAAAATTATATAGATGTCTTAAATGTCCTAAAAGTACTGAATATATCTGCTACATTTTGTTTAAAAAACTAATTTATAGTTTGTGCTTCGATTCTTAAAAAGGGGGTAATCCTGCACCCTTAATTAAATACCAACATTATTAAACATGCAACACATGTCACTTAGTAATATATAGTCTATGGCAACACCGTCGCAATAATTGTTTAATACATAGTTAAGTAGTGGCGTTATTCACGTCGCGACGATAAAATGGCCGCGTGACGGGAATCGCCGAGTATTACCCGAAATTGGACTCGATAGAGGCTAGGAGCTAGACTAAAGCTTAGAGGTTATTAGAGGTTAAGCGAAGTATATAATTTCTACGAATATAATTGAGGTAGGTTGATAGCCGATTTAATAAATTATGGCACTAACTAATTTGTCAAAGAATTAAACTAAAACTTAATTTAATCTATACTAATATACAAAGCTGAAAGGTTTGTTTGTAGAGGAACTACTGGTTCGAATTGAAAAATGATTTTTGTGTTGGTTAGAGCATTTATCGAAAAAGACTTATACGCTGCGACTAATACGAAAGAATAGCGGAAAATGTGGGAAAACTTCCACTTCCACTTTGAATGGTTTGAAAAATGTCCGCGACAAGATACTTATGTCTATCTTTTAATTCACAAGAACGACGGGACTAGACTAGTAGACTAGTATTTTAACATATAAAAGGAACAAAAAAAAATACTACATTACATCTTTTATTTTATCATTTGGAAATATAATTGTGTAATTTATCCTTCTCCAAATTAAAACATACAGTTATCATGAAATCTCTCATGAAATAGGAGGCAACTCCTAGATCAGACCTCTAGGCGTATCCTACGGCACGTAGGGATGGGGTCAACAGTTTTGATATTCCCAATTCCCAATTATGAGCTCTTGTATTGAAAATGAACGTGACGCATATTCTCCTCTGATACTTAAGAAATTTGTTTTTATTACTAAACGAGCTTTTACTAACGCCATTATTCAATTCAATTCAATTGTTCTTAAATGTTATCTTATTTAAAAAATCTTCTTTATTAGAAATTAGTAAATTACTTTAATAAATTATACTAGGTGATATTTTTTTAAATTAATAAAATAAAAGCTTTGTAAATCTTTTATTTTTTATACTTTACAAAAAAGTACTTTTTTTATTATATCAAATCTTTCATAGGAAGTGCTTAAACTTAGATCCACTACGCTACTCCAGTGCTTCAATGGCTAACGCCACTAAATTTTAGACCACAACCAGGAACGTCGGCTTACTCTCACTGCCGTAATATGTACATATATTTTAAATACTCTATAGATTATACTTCTATTAAAACTCAAGTTCGACTACAAAAGTACTTCTACTAGCGGGCACTCGCCAATATTTCACACTTGGTAATTGCATCTTAAGGCGCCGGTGAAAATGAATTGTTCACAAAATAATTGCCTTAATGGACCTCCAATATAGACCGTTCACACATTTCGAAGTTAATTGGGCGGTCTTAGGTAATTTCTTTGCTATTTGAAAGCATAAAGCCTCAGTTATCTTCTCTTCAACTTTTATTTTAAAATTAAAAGGTTTCTATTCGATTTCATTTGTATGTTTTTTATTTACGTTTTTCAAGGTTACGACTATAGTTTGATTGTCATAATTATATCAATTAACATTTTAATTAAATAACTTATAATAACGAATATAAAATAAATAAAATATTTCAACACATTCAAATTCAAAACACGTAATCCCGAATTTGTAAAGCTCGCCCAATTAACAATTTATCATTATTTATAGATAAGTTCAAAGTGACTATGGTTACCCAAGTCAACTAAAGAGCGGAACTAATTAACCACTTCCTTGACCCTAAACGTTTTACAACTACCCGCATTTTAATTACAAGCTAAACACGCTTCGCTACCGCTATTAACGATCTTTCCATTCTTTAAATAAATCACTTTGATTTCTTTAATATGTAGTTTTTTACCGGCAACTAGATATTGATACTAATTACTAAATAGCCTAGTATAATAAAAAAGGACTACGAATGTAGTGTAGATACGTCCTACTTAATAAAACTTTTTTGTGTATTACACGTTCAATTTGCAGGTGTGTGTACCTACTCTTTCTCAAACAAAACACTAATATATCAAAAATGTCCGTCTCCCTCTTATAATACTTTTTATATAAATATCTATTAATTTGATATCATTACTTTCAAACTTCAAACAGATAACTATCATATTAACATACGGATAAAGCATATTTACAAATGTGTTTAATATTTTTACAGTTTCTATAACTACAGATTAAAAATAATTTAAGATAAAAATATGAATATTGTTTTAAATAGATAATAATTCCATGAATTATTTAAACTACGAGAACATACCTGTATACTGTGCTAAAGACAGCTTAAATAATAATTTTGAATAATGATTTTAACGAGCTCAGCAGCTTGTTTAATTACACAGAGCGAGTAACTTAAGCTTCGTCTATGCGATTCCATCACGAATTATCGCTTGGCAAAGGGAAAATTTATTTTACGTCGAAGTGAACCTCAAATATAAAGACGCAACTGGCAAAGGGACAAAAGCTCAATTTTCCTAGAGTCACGGAGTCAAAGCAAGTTCAGATTCCGAATGTAGACATCTACGGAATTACTGTAATTACTGGATATCATGTGAAATATATATATTTTTTTATTTACGAACAATATGACAATTTTTTTTATTGTACTTTCAAATTAACGGTATTATATTAGGTGTAGTCTGTAGTTTTGCAAACACTTTTATTGGTTTAAAAACGCGAAATATATTTTAAATAATTTAATTATACAGTTATTAATTAATATATTTTAACTACGCCCCGACGTTTTCGATGCTTTGCTGTACCCGCTGGGGGCCAAAGATGTAGGGTGTATGTACCTAATGTCAAAGTTAAATCTGCTACGACAGCGCCATCTGTTTCCTCGTGATATAAATCTGTAGAAACTAGCATGGATGTTCGTAATATTAAATTTATACGTAGAATTCTAATTAATATAATTTAATGTTGTTTTTAATCGATTATGCTATAAAGACAAAAGAATAATCAATTTGAAAACTCAAAAAGAACAATTATATCCTCTGTTCTTTTCGCACACTGTCACACGTCTTTCCGTCTTTATTCAGAACAGAAGAGAAGGTATTCATTATTATTGGAGCTAATCCAGGGCTATGCCGCGGTGTGCGCAGTAGGAAATGAAATTCCGACGCGGTCAAATAATTCCTGCGCTCAAGGGAAATTTAATTTCGCTGGCTTTGACGTCTGGCGTATTTGTTATCATGGAGATCTGTTTTTAACGAAATGAATAGTATCTTCGAAACAAAGACTTTATTAATCCTATAAATAATAGTAAGTACGTAAAGTACAAGAGGTACGAAACGTGACAAAGGCACCTAAAAATAATAATAATTTAAATAAAACACTTTAACGGGTAAAACGCGACATATATTATTTTAGCAGCCGAAACGTCGGGCTGTAGATTAAATAAGTTTTACTAATATATTTCGCGTTAAACTGTAGAAGTGATTTATTTAAAGCTTTTATTGCAAAAATTTCATTTTCACACTGTCACATTTATTCTACATAACGCATCATTTTACCAAATGAAACACCCAATCAGACACCATTCATTAAATAAAGAGCAATTGTTGAAAGTAATTAAATTCATTAGTCTCAGTAATTATGTTCTAGCATACGGGTGGGCTGACTTCCAACCCTCGTGTACTCTGGAGCCAATTGCTCTAACTTTCATTCGTGTCATTGTTTGTTTATAAGCTATTAATTAATTTTATAGTTGAAATACTCTGACGCAGACATCATGACTTTGAATTATAGTGAATGAAAAGTTGACAGATTTTATCTTTTTCCTAAATAGTGTGATATGAACACATGTTAAGGAAGGAAAATTACATTTTCATTAATTTCCATGTACATATTTTGTTTTAGTACAATTAATGTCATCTTTCGGTTCATTTCGTTAAATTCAAAGGAAACAATAGCCCTACACAGAAAAGAATATTTTTTTTACAAAAAATAACCTAAAGATACCCTTCTCATCTCGTAAGTAGAAATAAATCTAGTCCTTTTATATAAAACACTTTAACGATTTATAGCGCGACATATGTTAGTTAAAATTATTTTAACTACGTTTTAAACCGTTAAAGCGGTTTATTTGTATGTGTACTACTCGCTTAAACTACAGACAGTTTATAAATCTAGTCGTTTTTTCTTTACAGACGTTTCGGCGTAGTAGATAAACGGTTCTGCGTCGAAGGCGGCTCCCGGTGCGGCAAGGGCGAAGGCCTATTCGTGTTCGCTGCGGAGGGAGGTCGGGAACTGACAGAGCTTCTTAATATCTACAGTCACGAGGCGCAGTCGAGATTGAGCGTCGCTTCTAGAAGTGGTTCAGGTAGGTTTTTATAAAAATCATGTAAAAAAAAACAATAATCCATTTAAATTCCTTGCTTCCCAAAATACATTAAAAATACTTAATTGCTGTGTCCTTCTACAGTTATGGAAAAGAGATACTCCGACACCAGTTCGTGCATGGACGACTGTTTCCACCAATCTATGCGTTCTGTCTCTCCGTCGTGGGCTGGGCCCGCTAGTCAGACGATGCACTGTCTCACTGATTTGGATGCGAGCCTTGATAGCAACGAAGACAAGTTTAGAAGACCGACTTCTCTACCGAGATGTTCCAGTTGTATTGGCAAAATTAGTCATTTGACGAGGTAAGTAATATCGTGATAAGCGTAACAAACGACGGAATGAAATAATTCACAGTTATACCACAAATAAAAAATGATGCTCCCTTAAAGGATGAAAACAATAATGTGATTTTTAATTTCCAGGTCGTCAACTATGAACACGCCAGGATCCATGATGTCTCCAGTCTGGACAATGGACAACATTATGGAAAAACGGTCTGATTCAGACCGGGCATCCATTTACTCACGATCCAGTGGCAGCGCTTCGGAATATTCCGTTCCACGCAGCGCATGCCTTTTGGATAAGAGTTTCGACTCGAAAAGAGCGAGTCCAGTCGCGTGCTGCACGCCTACAGTACCAGTGAAGACTGGAAGCAGCTGCCAGTGCTGGCTGCAGCCGAAACCCTGCTGCTGCAGAAAGAAAACCTTCAATGGACCTTACGAAAACTATGATGTGCCAAAGACCCCAATGCCTTTAATACAGGTTGGTGCACGTTTTTTTTATGATAGAATAGGAGGAGGTGAAATATCATAGTTATATAATATCTAAGCACAGTAAATCTCTATAATATCTGACTGTTGTATAATGTGAAGATAATAATAAAACTTCTTCCAGGAACACCCAGTAGACGTCCACGCGGAAGCGGCAAGCTTATACGACACACCAAAGAAACTTAAGTGCCTAATTGGCCAATCGTGCGGCTGCAACCACAACGAGACCAAAAACGACGACAACCAAAACCCTACCGAGCCTTGTGATACTAACGTTAACGATAACTCGAACTACGTAAATGTAACCCCCTCGAAACCGCAGATAGATCTGTCCAACTACGCGAACATAGACAGAGCTACTCTGGAAGAATTCGAGAGCTCCCTCCGCATTTTACGGAGCGCCGGCTTCAGTCAAGAAGAGCTGGACGCCCTAGAAGACATTCCAGAAAACGAAACGACCATCCTAACAACAGACTGCTGTAACGAGCACTTAAACTATATGCATATGGAACCGCTAGAGAACAGCTCTTCGAGCAATAGCAAGAACTTGTCAGACAACATTAGCAGAATCAGTCACGTGTCAGATCCAACCCATTCGGAGACAGACAACACTATCAGCACACGGCGATCAAGTTCTGCAGACTTTACCAAAAGACTTGACGAAGATTTGAACCCCAGGTTTTGCTATACGCCTACAGTCATCCGGCGGGCTTGCAAGACTGATTGTATCAACGAAGGTGTTCCAGTAAAAAATGAAGAGTTCAAAGTCCCGGGGCCCAAGACTGAGAATATTTTAGTCGCGCGGTTCAGAGATGCGGTGAAGATCAGAAGGTCTTCCAGCGTTCCTAGTAAATCTGATAAGAATAGGGATTCGTCTAGTTCCAATGATTCCGGAGTGTCTACGGGGTCATTAAAGCACCACAAAGGGGACTTCAATGAATTTGAGATGCCTGTAACCAATTCCAAATCCTCTAAGAAGCACATAAAGAACAAGCAGTTCAGGTTAACGCTCACTCCAGTACACGCCCCTTTTGTGAAGTCCAGCTCTTCAGATCCGTTGAAAAATTTGACATTTCAATTCGAGGAAGTCGCGACAATGGCAAAATCCAACTCATGCGATGTTGACACGCTAACGAGGAGGAAGAAAAGGAACGGTAAGTTTCGTAAACAGACAATTTGGTTTTTATTCCTTATTCAATTATTTTTATACTGGTTCTTATTTTACACCTAATAGAAATACACTACTACTACTTTTTTGTTATTTTTCGAAGTTTGTACGGAAAGCATTTTGTTGCTATGCTGTAACTGTATACCAGAAGACATATTTTTATTTCATTAAAAAAAATCTTATAGTTGTTTATTACTTGACAGGTGAAACAGACTCAACAGCCCGCCACAGTCAAATGACAGCTAAGAGTACCTCGAGCGGCGCCTCCGATACTTCAGACTACATGGAGTCCCTTTCAGTATCGTCGTTCTCGTCTTGCGACGTATCTGCGGACCGCCATGTAACTAGACCGCGATCTGGCAAAGAATACGCTAGCATTGACCGTGCCGTGCTAGCTAGCGTTTGTGACAATTGACATCCTTAAAAAACTTTTTGCTAAACCTAAGTGTTATTTACCAGCATTTATAACAGATACAACGATGGAACAGAAACGAGTCTAATATAGAACTTAAAAATGCGTTGGTAGGATTTTCTGTGGCTTAAGAAATAGCTCAGTTTCTTTTTGTTGTAACGGACATGTAAAACTTAAGCAAATCACAATCTAAATGGTATTCTTACTTTTATTTCGGATGTTCCTTCTTAACTGATGAGTACTTAACAAAACGTTACAGACTTGTACTTATCCCAGGGAGAAACCAAATTCAGGGAAGATTCCTTGATAATTCCTAAGGCAGTTTTATTATATTGTGTGACCTTATGTGGGTTTCATTTTCAGTTTATTATTTCCTAGTTGTGATGGCAAATCTGTCTACTTAACGTGTTTTAGCACCTATATAAAAGTGGGTGTCATCCAAATGTAAAGAGAGATTGTTGCGGATGAAAGGGTTTAGTTTAAGTTATGATTTTATGACTTACTCTAAAAATGTACAGTTAGTACTTAAAATTAACAGATTTTTGTCCAAATCACTAGTTTAGTTTGATATAAGTTACCTGATACAATTAATTCATAAAGCATATATTTTTATATCTATAAGTTCTTAGCATTTGTATCTTACATGTAAATAAACCGTGTATGATAATAATCCATCTTAATTTGTGTACTTAATGATTAATCATTTCAACTTAGCCTCTAATATAATATCTGTATTGCAAGACGCAACTGTCAAACTGACAGCTGTCAAAATAAATGACTGAAAGAAAGCAAAAACAAAATTGATAGCTATTTTAGCGTCTTGTAATAGAGATGGAATGGGAATTGTCACTTACGATTCCCTTTAAATTAATCGTTCCTATGTACAAAGAGAAACACAGCTAAATAGATTGTAGTCCTAACGAATTTAGTTTTGAGTAGGGTGCCAAAAATAATCGTACCTAATCAATTAGCAATCTGTGTAAAATATGTATTATAGTATTTAAATTTCCACGTATAGTAAGGCCAATATAGTATGCCGCATTTTAAATAATCAATTTGAAGAGTTACAATAATTTTATATTTTTCTCTGTTACAATACCTCGTTGTCGAATTGTGATGAAATTTCAAAATGAGACTTCTTATATTGGCCTTGCAGTATATCCTACATATTTTTCGACCTGAACGATAATTGTAAATTATTGTGCCTAGATTTTGTCACGTTTAAAGAAAATAAGTGTATTGTACAGGTCTAAGGGACCTCAAATGCACACTATTTAAACAAAAAAAAACGTTATCAAATCATTTAGTAGAGCCCATTTTTTAAGTTATGTGAAGGAAGTAGAAGTATAATGATTTACATGACTAGGTAATGGTACTTATTTATTTGTGCCTTTGTAACTTGCTGATTCATAATGCTTAAGTTACCTTTGATAAAATGATAGTTAAGTACCCTAATACAATGTTTTGTAACAAAATGGCCTGTAAGAAAATAATGAGCAATACTGAACGATTAACATTTGAATATATAACTTATAAAGTAGACTTTTTATACTAAAATAGAATCAATAGCCTGCCAAGTAAGTGTTTGCTATTACTTTGTTAATGCGTTAGATAGTTACTGAAATGTTTGCCAGCTCCTCTGTCGGAGAAAGTTGAAATGTTAGCGCTATTACATTCATGTTTTGCAATTTCGTTAACTGTCAAACTCATTTTATGATTTATAGCTTTTAAAAAATTCAAACTGTATGACATTTTTATAATTTACCCGTTCAATTACCACAGTAATAAACAATACAGCTCAACGTATAAATGTATTTCTCGACAGGGCATGAATGATTTTCGTCTAGTCATATAGTGTGGCGGCTTAATGCTTGAAGATCTTAGCTGTACTTACATACGAAATATGATAAAACTTCATAAATTCTTATAAATTGAACCAGTGTTATCTTGCGAAGAGACAAAATGGCCGCCATACAAACGGTTTTCGGTTTCAGCACGGTTGGTGTTTTTATTATAAGGTTTTATGTAAATTCGAGTACTTTACATTGCTTTGTATTTTAAAGGTAGTTTATGTCATGCAGAAACGAAATATAGTGCATTTTATAATTTTTGGATTTAATTTTTACATCCTATCCTCCCTTATAAATTTATAAAATAATTTCAATTATTAACTAGAAGATATAAAGAAAAACAATTAACAAATATATATTTTTGAAAAATCAAGGATTCCAATCGCAGAGTTGGATAATACCGCGCGGTTGATAACTCCGCGCTTTAGTATAATTCAAAAACCTATTTACTAGTTTGCGCTGTAGTGCGTATTCATCGAAGCCGGATATGCCAAAACCCTCCCAAAAAAAATCGCTGACACGGCTAGTACGAGAATAAAGTAAAAACTATGTAACAATTTTTTGGAAAAAGTACCTACTCAATAAACACGATAATTTCAAAATAGTAGTCATCATCTTCGGTAGTATAGTGGTCAGTATCCCCGCCTGTCACGCGGGAGACCGGGGTTCGATTCCCCGCCGGAGAGAACTTTTTTTATTTTTATTAATATTATTTATTTCAATTAAATTCACTTGTAAGTGATATGGAAATGTTTGATATGGGATTACTCGTTATTAAATTATTGTTATCATATCGTTACACTATATTTTTAGTTCGCCAATCTCATGGAAGTATAACTAGCAAGTTTAAATGTGAAACGATTCTTGAATGGTAAATATTTTTTTTCGATTTTGACCATGACTAACGATTAAGTCAGTACTAAAACAGAGACTTACAAAGCCAGAGACGAAACGAGGTAATCCCATACGTATCTATAAATTTATTTCCCAGATTATGTAAAGGGTCTCTACTGAACTGAATGTTCATTCCTTTCCTATACTTTTATATTTACCATAATTACTAGAACTTTCTAATTACTAAAAAAAAAACAAAACTATTCTAATTAAACCTTACTAGTTATTTTGCGCATATTAAACAAAGGAATAACTAATATAATGTGTCTAAAAGTTAGCGTATTTTTATTACTAACTTAATAAATATTGTGTACAATCTTTACAATAATAATAATTTAATTAAAAATCTATTTAAATGTACAGATCGATGTAGATGGTTGTTAAAGACCTGCCCGTGTCGTTAAATATTTTCAAACAAAATACATTTTTAATTTATTTATTGCCGTCATGTGCAAAAAACATTTCAAACATCTATTGGTTGTCGCAAAAAAAAACAAAGATAAAGGCACCTTTTATAATGTTTATACATACGTGTGTAGATTCAAGTTCTTAAAGCTTTTAATCTAAAGCCAATACATTTTCAAAAGCTTCGGGAGATAAGATTCGCGACATTGCAACCGAGGGCCGCCGGCTATAAATGATAAGGCGCATTAAGAAAATTGCAATTCGTGTCCCGTTGCGATAAGTAGGTATTACTGATACACCCCAGATCTAAAAGGTATACCAAGAGGGTTATGTGATCCTGTACCTGCACACTGTTAGACGATTTGAGTCTTCTTATTAATAGCACTGAAGATAACATTCGAATTCGAAATAAACAATGTATACCGATCGCTGATTCACAATTTAGGACACTTTTAACGGTATAAAACGCGAAATATATTAGTTGAACTTATTTACAAATTATGCTAACTATGGCACCACAATTGCCTTGGCCACGGGGAGACTTACTGACTAATACATTTCGCGCATACTAAAGACAGTATCACTTCCAATGAGATACATTCTTAAAAATTTCACACACACATCGTAAGGAAAGTTAGTCTAACTTTATACAGAAAGCCATACAAAATAATATTGTTCATTCTCGCTTAAGTAAAAAAAAATTGGAAAATCAGTGACAACAAACGGATTTTTTAATATGTCACTCTCTTATCGTAGCAACCTTAGAATATAATATAATTAACGTCTACATACAATAGGATTGTTAATTTCGTTAAATCAACCTAATTCAATATGTTTATTTATATTATATGTTTATTTCAGTCAAAGGTATGTCCACTTCTTTCAGCTACTTCTTTAATTTCTTATATACAAGGAACAAAGACTCATTTCGGATAAGCGTTTTAATAATGCTTCAATGGTCGTCGTCATGCAATATTAAACGATTCTAAAAATATTTTCCAATGGTTTTTATTTTAGTATTAAATTTAATATTTATTAAATTTTAATTTTTGTCTTCTGCAGTTTGTAGTAAATTGACAAGTCTTTTAATTCCTACTAAACACGTGATGAAGAAGATGATCAATTTCATTTGAAAGGCGATATAACATTTTTATAGTGTTCATTTAAACTAAAAAATATATATATTTGAACTCTTGACAACTACAGCATAATACCTGCAACTGTGTTTACACGTCTCTTGATTTCTTAAGAGCATCGGGTGATTGGATATAACAATATAGGTACCACAACTTGAATATTCCGGTCACAATTTGTTTCATTTCGTGTGCGGTAGTCATCTTTTTAACATTTATAATGTTTTTAGAATTTGTGATTATATCTTGTCTAAGTAAGTTAATTTTTACTGTAAAATTCTTGGTTTCCACAGATATTCATATTTATTTATTTAGAGCTCTCTATGTGGTAAAAATACTATTTGTTTATTAGTGTAGATAGTACCTAAATATATATATTGATGCTACAGTAATAATGATCTTAAACATAAGCTCTAATCTTCATGTCATCATTTACAGTGTCACAAATCGCATGTCTATCTGTTTCTACGCTAACGCTAACTAAAAACGTTACTGTGACGTATTGCCTAATATTACGGTAATGTTTCGGTTAATGCCACTTAATTTACAGGTGTCACATCCGGCATTACACCGGCTTATGATATGATCTGTGGTTTGCACCAAGTATACAAATCTTGCCAGCCCTGCGAGAAAACCTGTGCAGAACCCAACCCAGTATGTGGTGAAGCTTGCTTGACGGGTTGCTTTTGCAAGGATGGTTTTTATAAAGCCCCAAGTGGGCAATGTGTGCTACCAACGGAGTGCCCTTTAGGTAAAAATAACTTTCTCATAATTGTACATGACATTGGAATATGTTATTTGTATATATTTATCACACATATATATGTGACATATTATAGTTTGAATTAAACTAATCCTACAATTCTATCTATTTCAATATCATTATACCCTTTTCTCAATTACATATACGTAATTACTTAGCAAGTTCTTACTACTAATATAATATGTTATAGTGTCAAATTTCTAAAATGCCAATTCAAATCGAGGATAAATATTTTCACAAATGAAAAGCTTTCAGCGGAAATAACAATGAGTGTTGCAAACGAACCATCTATCGAAGAGTGTCAGGTGGATGAGGTCTTTGTCTGGTGTGGCTGGTGCGAAGCCACCTGTTCCGAACCGGCACCGGACTGTCCACCAGACGTTTGCACCCGTGGGTGCCTTTGTCGACCACCCCTCTTACGCCATAGAAGTGGACACTGCGTTGAACAGAAGGACTGTTTGGGTCGTAAGTCTTTATCATTACATTGCAGTATTCATGGTAATAAAAGGTTCTAACTAATATATAACTAGTATTAGTTATTAAATGTTATTTATATTTAATATTTAACGAATTTTCCACATCTACATAATAACATTACAAAACTATTATTTTGCCAAAAAAGTCTTACCTTTAATTTCCTACAAAGGTACCGATATTATGATAAAATTTCACACATTCATCAAACTTTATTTTAAAACGATTTAATTATTAAAGTCGATTAAAACGATATAACACTAGCAAGCACCTGGGTTTTCATTTTTTTCATTTGTATAAATTGTTGATTGTCCTTAAAATACATTGTTCTAGTGGGATAGCATTTTTTTTAAATTACTTCATAATATTGATATTATTAGTAAATATAAAGTTTCGCAGATCCCAATGTTGTGTACTAACACGTGCTGATCGAAACTCTTAATGCTTTTACGAATGCATTGCTGGTTTAATTTTAGTTTTATTGTTAACATTATTTTTTCAGATAAATGTCCAGACAAAAATGAGGAATATGTTTGTCGTTACGGTTGCGAGCCGCGATGCGAACGGCGTACGTGTGTCCGCGAACGCAGATGTTCGCTTGGCTGCCATTGCAAACTTGGTCTCTTACGCGATCGTGAAGAGCGTTGTGTTACATTCGATCAATGTGAAAAAAATATGACTAAACCTTTACAATAAATGAATTCATCAAATTGCCTTTTATATGTCAAAAAACGCTGTCAATATATTCTGTCTCCATTATGCCTTATTAGGTCTCCAAGAATCAAGTGAAGTATAGTAAATTTTAACCAATATATTAAACAAATTAGGCGTACGAATATCAAAGGAATGTTAAGAGATACATATCATTCTTTTATAACGATATACCGTAGGTCTATAAAAAAATATAGCCTTTAGGTATTTATGTTGACAATTGAAATCTACAGTAGGTTTATGAAACTAAGTTTAGAAATACTGTCTAAATAATAGTAAACGATTGTGTTTCAATGTACAAGCAGATTGTTCGTACCCCAGTACAAACAAACTGTTTGTGCTTCCCAAAAGCATTATCTAAAAATTTCCTCGTCTGTCTTTCTCTTGCTACTCTTATCCATTGTGTGACAAATTGACAATAGACCACAGACCTTGAACGTGAAACATAGAAATGACAATTGACTATGCTTGACGTTAACTTTGGAGGTTATTAACCTCAACCGAAAGAATTATTGTTGTGAAGTTAAGGATAAATTACCCTAAATAATATTGTGGCATTTTACTATCTACGTAAGTCCCTGGCTGTAACATCGAATGTAAAATAATTTGAAAATGAGTGAAAAATTAAAAGAACTACGCGAGAGATCGCAGAAACGGAAAAAGTTACTTGCGCAAACGGTTTGTTCTATATGGTATTTAGCATGATAATTTAAGTAAAGCGCAGTACAATATAGAGAACAATTTATATTTAGTCGTGTTACAGCTCGGTGTGTCCAGTGTCAGCGAATTACGCCACGCTTTGGGAGCAAGTTTGGATGTTTTGCCTAAGAAGCAAGCGGCAGCGGGATTTAGTGCCGATGGCAGTGAAAAACCAACTCCTAAAGAGCCTGACAGCTTAGTGTATACAGATTCTTCCACATTCTTAAAGGTCAGTTCCTTTTTAATTGTCAAATTCTCTTCTTCTCTTCACAAACAAGATTTCACTCTATGGAGCAATTTACTGATTATTAGCAAGACCTAGTGAAGTAGTCAGAAGGTTAATACTCCTCAAATTTTTATTTTATTCTTATATATTGAAACTAAACATTAATGAACTTATCTTTCAGGGCACACAATCATCAAATCCACACAATGACTACTGTCAGCATTTTGTTGACACTGGACAAAGACCACAGAACTTCATCCGTGATGTGGGTCTGGCCGACAGGTTCGAAGAATACCCAAAATTACGTGAACTTATCAAGTTGAAGGATGAGTTAATAGCTAGAACAGCTACTCCGCCTATGTATTTGAAGTGTGATCTTAAGGTGATAAGAAAAAAACTGTTACATACAATTTAATTGATTAAATATTAAAAATTAATAATTAAATTTAACTAATAGAGCTACCAAGTCAATTAGAGCCACAGCACGGAACACTGGGAAGCCAGTTCAGTCCAGCTCAAGTCCTAATTTTTTTCAATTTATTATCAATTTTTAAATCATATAGTGCCATATGCAAAAAATAACATGTGAAAAAGTTAAAGTTATGTATTAATTTTTCAGTCATTTGATCTAAAGACAATGGGTGTCAAATTTGATGTGATCTTGGTGGAACCACCTTTGGGAGCAGGGTGGAGATGGAAGGATGTATTGGCTCTTGAGCTACACCACATTGCACAGCCTCGATCATTTGTGTTTCTATGGTGTGGAAGTTCAGAAGGTATATTCATATTTGTCTTAATAAAGTAATTATTTACAAATCTTCTAGATGTCTCCTGCAGTACCTTATTTAGGTACTAATTCAGAAAGAGGTTTAATGTAATTTGCCAAACCTTTTAAGAGAAACAACCATAAAAAAATGTCATATTTTTTTAGGTTTGGACATGGGTCGTGAGTGCCTCAAAAAATGGGGATTCCGCCGCTGTGAAGATATCTGCTGGATCAAGACGAACATAAAAAATCCTGGACACTCAAAGAATCTCGAACACAATGCTGTCTTTCAAAGGACAAAGGAACACTGTCTAATGGGTTAGTGAATACAAATGCGTAATGCCAAATATGTTTTAGGTCGCGTTTAGAAGTACATATTATTATTAAGAGGTATAATTTTTGCAACTCTACTATTTGTCACCAACAATATGACGACAGGTTTAAGCTACTAAATTAAAGAAAAGCCAAAGCGATCCAAAATATGGTATTAAAAAAAACAGCCAATTATAATCCAACACAATCCAATAGCACACAACGATAGCGCGTTTTAAGATACAACTAACGCCATCTATTGTACTTAGAACTGAAATTATTTTGTTTGTCCTAATTTATTTGTTCCATTATGTACCCTTTTTTATTCCTACGATAAGTCCCACGTCTGAATAAATTCTAATAAATCTTAGCGGATGAAACATGAAATGGTCAGAACATCTACTTGTGATACAAATTTCAGCCTGATCTGTCTAGTGGTTTGGGTTTTGCGTTGATAAATCATTATGTCAGTCAGTCAGTCACCTTTAATATTTTATATATTTAGATAGATGATATGCCATATATATGTTTACAAGCAGGAATATATAAAATGCAATACTTATAAGTAGCACACAATACACAATAGATAGTAGTAGTACACAATAGATAAAAATCTTTTAAACCCAAAATATATTAAGTTCATTAATTTTTTACTTCAGACCTGACAGTTGTTTTTAACCATTTAATGTTTTATTTAATCATCATTTCTCATTTTACAGGTATAAAAGGCACGGTCCGTCGTTCAGTGGATGGCGACTTTATCCACGCAAACGTGGATATCGATCTGATTATTTCTGAGGACCCTGAGTTTGGTTCCACTGAGAAACCCATAGAAATCTTCCACATCATGGAGCACTTTTGTTTGGGGCGTAGAAGGTAAATTAATCATATATGGCTAGTTTTTACCTGCTGAAATTAGGTATGTTATTGTCGTATACCCTTTTCAATCCATCTATATTTCAGGGTGCACCTATTCGGCCGTGACTCCACAATCCGTCCAGGCTGGGTAACAATGGGACACGAATTAACGAACTCAAACTTTAATGCTGATCTCTATGCCTCCTATTTCAACGAGGGTCGGGAGACAACGGGCTGCACTGAGCGCATCGAGGCGCTTCGCCCTAAGAGCCCGCCTAACACAAGCAAGGGGACACGTCCTCGAGGTAGAGGGGGCTTCCGAAGCCGTGGAAGGGGGAGGGGTGCTATTTAGTTAATTTTATAGGGAAATACAGCGATTTTCTACACGAGTATTTTAATTTACTGTACAATTTTATAATGGAATCCTCATTAGGAAGGTTGCGTTAATAATTGATTATAAACTACCCTCCTTTTCTTTATTCCTATCTTCCTATTAATGGCCGTTTGTAGCACGAAGTCAATTTGAAAGCAAAAGCAAACTATATATGTAATTTAAAAATCGAAAAAAAAATTTAAAACTATTTTCGATTTTTAAATTATATAGTGCCTTAATGTGCAATAACATGTGAAAAATATTAATGTTTTTAAAAGCAAACTAATATCAAATGATACCTAATATATTGCACGTCAGGCTTTTACGGTCAACTGCAGAACTTACATCATTAGCTATAAATTAATGTATTCACAATTTTTAAATATGTATGGTAATAATTCTTTTTTCGGGCTGTAACAGACAGGAACGGAACATTATCTTTCCAACAACAACGTTAGCAACATCTGAAATCTACATCGAGTAGATCACTAGTACTTTTGGTTGAACCAATCACGAATCGTTTTCCCCTCCGTAAGACCTATCGGGAACTACTGACGAGACGTAAGCGTCGCGGCCGCATTGTCATTTATGTGCTGTGCACTTGTTTAACGTAGCTTACTAATATTTCGTATATATATCACTACCATATTGTTTGAAAGGTGTTAGTTACGCGATTTTTCTCTAAACATACACAGTAGAAAAAGAAGACATGTGCGAAAATTAATTCCGCGTGCAGAACTTGTTTTTTCGTCAAGGTCGACGAATTCTTTGAACATCGACGTCGCGTCTTTGGATTGTGTAAGATTAAACAGGGAAAGGATAAAAATTAAAAAGTCAAGAAGTAAGTGTTAACCCTTTTTATATTTTGTTGCAACACGTAACCTTGTCCGCGTCCATACAATTATTTTGCCGGTTATTGTAAGCTCACTGTATTAGGATTTCAAACTACCGTCAAGATACAGTATGCGTGAAATTTTAAGAAACTCACTTGCTCATAAATCAAATGCTTATCTCACAATGTTTTCAGAAATTAAACGGTTAAATTTATCGATAATTCTCCCACGTTTGCATTTGATAAAGCTTATTTTTCTCGCTGTGACACCTAATATAATAACATACTATGTTAAAAATTAAACTACATATAACGTTGCAATTGTCAGGTGTCCGGTCACATTGCATAAATAAAGGTTTAAAATGTAACATTTTTTTATAATTTGCCAGTTCTAACGTTGTCATATTTGTGGTAGACGCGCGATGCATTGCAACGTACGTGAATAATACCGTATTGTGTGATTTTGCTAAACAAGCTACAGTAACCGTAAGTAACAAAAGGACACTATCGATTTCTTTTTAAATGACGAAAACCTCAAAATTGGAAAGGCGGATAAAATAGCCGCTAAATCGAAATGCTTGATACGATCAACTAGTCCTCAGCCTGGTTTTTGTCAAACGAAAACGTGTTTTTTCAGTTTAAAGGGAATACAAATAATCTAAATTAATATACATAATATAAAATTTACTTTTGGTGTAAGAAAAGAGTCGAACAATACTGTTAATCTGTTTACTAAAGTTATTGTCACTCGTGTTGAGACAGATTGTGTGCTTGCTTCCAACACTTAACCTAAGGGTAAAAAAATAAAACGCATCTGTATATACATCAATATATTTTATTTTACATAGGTTGTCTTTAAATCAACTCGACTATTCTGAAGTTCATCAAAATATAAAAAAGACAAAACAAAAAATATGACATATGAGATCTTTTACTTACTAAGATAAGAAAAATTTACATATTCCTTTATTTTAATTATTGTGGAACTAATTTCTTACGATTCAATAAAAAAAATGTTTGCTCTGGGGGTCCGCTCGTGCGCTTAGACCGATAGAAAAATGTAAAAAGCCTATTTTAAGAAATATTAATTTAATATGAGAGTATATAAAAGTATAGAAGCCGATATTGTCTTTATAGAAGTAGTTTTTGGCTCTAGAATGGGTGAGTAAATACATGTTTTTATCACATTTTATTTTATCAAAATATCATTCATCATGTCCTTTAAGAAGAATTCCTTCGCCATACACGCGTCAATGATATTACAATGAGAGAATTTACATGGTTTGGTCTTACACATAGTTTTGTGCAATATAAGATTTTCTCTTTACCCACGCATAGCAAAGCCTTATTTCGAGTTTAATAATTAACGAAAACATTAAAAGTACTCGTGTCGAGATTTTATTAAAATGCTCATTTTAATATTTAGGCGATGCGCTTACTTTTAACATGTCAACGATCAATGAAGGATATATCAAAAAGTTTGAGTTACACGAGCGAAGCCCCTCTCGCGTCTTGTATCCAATTGACTCACTCCACTGACAAACAGTACAGTAACACGGCCCATTGTCAAGTCTTATATTACATAATTCATTTTGTTATCATTATACAAGGCATATTCTTTCAAACAGCGGCGCGAGCGCATGTCGTTCGAGCGGTACCTACCGTGAAACCAAACTTAAACTTATTTTACTTTAACACGCATCGAGGACAGTAATTTAAGGACAAAATTACGTCTGAGGAAGCAATCCTGCATAATATGTAGCTCCGTGTTTTAGTAAAACTGCGCAAACTCAACATTCTTGTGTTACACGCTCAAAAGATGGCGCTCGCGTCGCTCCGCGACACCTCTCTAGTATAATCGTCATAAGATCACATTTTTCTTATAAGGCAAACAACAATCTTTAAAGCTAAACCTTTGATGAAAGGAGGGGAGGGCGTGGACAGCTAACCGATAACGAACTCTCGTGCGAAACGAAACTCAACTGGAATGGGGTTAAAACTAGAGTTGACTTCAGAGGGGAACTTAGCACGAATCAAACTTAATAACATCTAAATTTGTACTTGATAAACGCGTAAAAATACGGACGCCAAATAGATTCAAACTCGCTTCCGTTAGTATTACATTCGACAAACGTTGCGCGGTGCGATTCCGACATTTAATCTATATTTACAAATGGCTGAAAAAGTGATGGCGCGCGAGTATCGTGAGAAGCGTTTTAAAAATTAAATTAAACACTAATTAATGAGAGATATCGTTAGAAATTCATGAAACTTAAAAAATATCCTTTTCATACTGGAAGCATTCGTGAATGGGACGACAGAGCCCACTTTACTTAATAATTAACTTACCGCGAAGGGGCGAACTTGACATATTTTGTGATGATTGCTTAGAGCCCTTAGTATGAGATTAATCATCGAGAGATATATAGCTATTGATAAAAAAAAACGATTTTTAAGTTTGAACTAGGTTTAGAGTGAGGACTTGATTGATTGATAGAGGACTGTCATTGAAAAAAAACTTTAAAAAGCAATGAAAATGGTAATTATGCTTTCATATATAAACTCATACTGAGATACAAGTAGCCCCTAATACCAACTTATCCACTTTCGGACGATTCTATGACGTTCTTAACCTACGCTTAGCTCCTAACTTAAGCTACCAGACTCGTATCGAGCGAAATATATCAACAAAGAAAGTAAAAAAATTAAATTCCACGGCCGAACTACGTAAACTAGCAATCAATCGAGAAAGATCTATGAAATAAAACGCGAACATAGTTATTGTTCTTTAAAAAAAACTAAGAGCGGATATTCAATGTCATCCTTATATTTAGACCTTTTCTAAGTGAAAAATACTATCCAGATTTGTATAGGCTCTAAAAATCTAAATAATTTTATCTTGTATGTGTTTTATTATGGAATATGTTGGATATCCGTTCATAGTTCATCAATTTTTGCATACTCGCTACGTCACACCCAAACGTCATAGAAGCCGAAACCCTAACACACGTGGGCCCACCACTCAACCGTGCAACGCCACGATTGTGCGATTTGCTATCTCTGTCACACGTTATGTCTTTACCCGCGACAGATATATTAGGCCTGGTGAATTAAAAATCACGCTTAATTGAGAAAAAAAATGTTTTTGTAAAAAGACGCGGGCGGTGTTGAAATGTAACTTGTAACAACGGTTTTATTTGCTTTCATCGGATAATGTGTCAATCATGTGATGTGAATTACGATTCGTATTGAAATTCACATATGTACAAAATCTGATGTATGAATGTGTATTGCTTTTTAACCCTTGTTACACTACATTTCATAGCACCTATAACATCCTATTACATTAGACGAAATGACAATTCACGAACAAGACAACTTATATCTGGCAAACAAATAACATGCAAACGAGTTAAATCTTCATCGCCTAGCCGTTACAGAGAATTTGGTAAAAACGCAATTTAAAATACGCTAGGAACAAAGGTTTAACTTAAGCGGAGGTACGCAGTAGCCTCATAACAGAACATCTCACACGGCACTCGAATATAAAATTATAAAAGAAATTACACAATATACAAAATTAAATACCGTACGGTACATGTTTCAGAATTTCCAAGATGGCGCCCGGATCCTCGAAACCAATCAACAACCTTCGCTGTCTCTTTCCCTCATAAGTTAGTGTGAAAGAGACAGCAAGTTCCTTAGATAATTTGAGTACTCATGCCATCAATAAATTGTGTTTATCAAACATTAGTTAGATTGTAAGTGTATTATGTAATGTTTATCTTTGAGATATTGATTCTAAACACATTCTTAGTAAGTATAAAAGTGTAATTTAGAGATATAGAAACTAAGCCACCTGTTTTAATAATTTTTAGAGGAATTATGTAGTGGACCTCGTAAATTTCCTTAACATTAACATGGCTCTTTTTTCTTTCTCGTACAGTAGGACTAGGTAGATATATAGTTGTTAAATAAACAAGATATATATAATATAGTTATCCCTTTCTCGCTTAATGTAAGACAAAACTTTAGCTGAATAGTGCGTGAACTTAAAAAAGTTGCATTAGATCCACTACATACACCGTTTGCCTAAATAGGATGGCAGTTGTTGAGATCTTTGAAATTTTAACGAAAATATCTACTG